GCTTAACTATGTAGCACCTAAAGCCAAAAAATTCTCCCTCCAGTTGACCAGTTTGAAAGTGCAAAAATTAGTTCAATCCGTGCTGTGGAAATCCAAAAGCAAATATGATCATGCACAGAGTACAGGGCACTGAGAAAAATAACATCTTGACTTTGAGAGTAGAACATAAGAGGTTTGTCTGCTAAAATCACCCTAGTGAGCTATTCTAGCTAACCCCCAGCCTAGAAGGGTTCTGAAAAGTTCTTTTGTCCTTGGCAGCAGCTTTCCAAATGTTTTCTCAAGGTCATTTAAATGTACCAAGTACTTTTGGATTGAAATTAATGAAGAGTTAATGCTAATAGAAGGGAATATATATATATAGCTCAGGATATATGGAGTCCTGCGTGCTTTCTGACCTTGTTGTTTGTTTGCAGACATTTTGTTACCCTACTGGGGTACCCTACTGGACTGAAAATGCTAGCTAGTAGCAGAACATAGTTGTTTTTCCTGGTTTATCTTCACTCTGTGGACAAGGTTCTCAGATGAGATTGACCCACTAATGACACTGATTATCTGGATCTATTTCAGACCAGTTTCAAGTTGAGAGATGGCACAGACATGACTTTGGTTATTCTGATGAATAATTCCATTGACGGAGTGCTACAAGGGAAGTGGTGCTCAGCTTATGCTCTTCTCTTATGCTTCTCTCAAGGAGAGAAGCAACCTAAGGAGAAATTTCCTGACAGCTAGAACAATTAATCAATGGAACAAGCTACCTCCAGAAGCTGTGAATGCTCCAACACTGGAAGTATTTAAGAAGAGATTGGACAACCATTTGTCTGAAATGGTATAGGGCAGATATGTCACGTGACGTCGCAAGATGTATCGGGACAGTTTTGCCATTGCCAGCAATGGGGTGGGCGCAGCTTCTGGATGATGCGTCCGGCCCTTGGGCCAGCAGTTTGACACACCTGGTATAGGGTTTCCTGCCTGAGCAAGGGGTTGGACTAGAAGACCTCCAAGGTCCCTTCCAACTCTGTTATTCTGTTATTCTTGGTGGCTTTGATGCCATCCATTATGGTTTCCTGTTGAATTGTACAAGGAAAATGGGGTTTTGAAAACATAGTTCTGATATATTTTCATTCCTCTCTCAATGGCATCTATGAGCAATATGATAATTCATGGATTTATCATGTAGATGTCATCTTGAAAGGAAACTCAGCTAGAAACAAGTAGACCCATGGCATTCTGTAGAGCGCATCAATACAATAGAACTTCTTTCAGGGATCTGGACTTTACTCTCACATCTGCTTTTTTAAAAAATCTAAAAATATGTATGCATGAACAAATATTCACTTCTAAATTTGTAGTATTTTTTAATGAAAAGTCATTATTCATGGTTTGGAAATAAATAAGATCTTTAAAGAGCCTTCACAGATATACTGGTAGGACTGATATACCATACTTTGGATTGTTCTAATTTTGCCAGAATTAATGGATGCGAATAATTTGCATCATGAGTAGATGGAAGCAAATAAGTAAATAAACTCATTATTTTGCCTGTTTTCTCTTTCATTCAGCACGAATTACTTCCTTTTTGGGACATAAAAGCTGCAGAAGAGTAGTTTTGCGGGAACAAGAATGAAGAAGAGAAGGTTTTATAAACTCTCCGACCCAATCCACTTTATAGCAAAAAAAAAAAAATTAAATTCAGCCCCAAATACATGCTGCCGTTATTGGTTATTCGCCCAACAAATGCCTTTCAAGTTGGAATGTGTTATTTCTAAATGCTCTCCGTATAGTATAATAACTGGAGCCAATCTTATTATAAGTATAATTTTAGCATTTGAATTAAAAATGGAGCAAATTAAGTTCAGGAGCTGACTATAACAGACGTGTAGAGACCTCTGAACAGTTATTTTATAACTTGGTAAGTCAAGGGATGTAAAGGTGGCATGCAAAAAGTGGTCTGCACAACTCATTTTCTATACATATTTCATGAGCATATATCCTGCTTCCAATAACTCAGAAATGAGCTATCTATTCATTTACTATGCTTGTGCAGCAAGCTAAGCTATGTTTATCATTAATCACTGATAGGAGACTTGACCATCAATGTTAGGCCAGAAAACACAGTAATACTGTTGTAGTTGCTGACTAGTGTCAACATCTAAACCAAATTCAAAAGTAGATGTACAGAAGACAGATGGTAGAATAGAGTAGAGTAGAGTAGAGTAGAGTAGAGTAGAGTAGAGTAGAGTAGAGTAGAGTAGAGTAGAGTACAGCTGGAAGGGACCTTGGAGGTCTTCTAGTCCAGCCCCCTGCTCAAGCAGGAGAACCTATACCATCTCAGGCAAATGACTGTCTAGCCTCTTCTTAAAAATCTCCAGTGATGGAGTGCCCAAGATTTCTGAAGGCAAGCTGTTCCACTGGTTAATTGTCCTCACTGTCAGGATGTTTCTCCTTAATTCCAGGTTGTTTCTCTCTTTGATCAGTTCCCAACTTTTGTTTCTTATCCTGCCCTCTGGTGCTTTGGAGAATAATGTGACCCCCTCTTTTTTGTGGCTGCCCCTCAAATACTGGAACACTGCTATCATGTCTCCCCTATTTCTCCTTTTCTTTGGACTAGCCATATCCAAGTCCTGCAGCTGTTCTTCGTATGTTTTAGTCTCCAGACCTTTGATCATTTTAGTTGCTCTTCTCTGCACTTTTTCCAAACTCTCAACACCTTTTTTGTGATATGGTGACCAAAACTGTCAGCAGTATTCCAGGTGTGGTCTTACTAGGGTTGTATAAAACAGTACTAATACTTCGTGTGATCTTGATTATATGCCTCTGTTTATACAACCCAGGATTCTATTAGCTTTTTTAGCTGCTGCTGCACACTGCTGGCTCATAGTCACGGGTAGCGGTAGGAAAGGCTAATCCTCCTACCAATTTTGTTTGCTCTTTTGTACCATGTATGAAAAAGTAAAACAGAAAGGTAAAGATATTGTGGCAGAAACAGCCCTGTTTCTAACCCAATCTTTCACCTTCCTCTAAAAGCTACTGTAGGGTTGGCATTATTTGGAGATCAAACAGTATGTAGAGATAGATGTTCAGAACTATCCACAATGATGCCAAAATGTCAATCATGACATTATCACCCAACCTCTGTCTTTTTGTATCAGTGTTATGATATCACATGCACACATGGAAAGGGTCAAGTTTGCCTCACAAAACACCATGTGTTTTGTTATTTGTCTTCTTGATACAAGCCCAAGCCCATCCCCACTAATACTTACTTGGGCAGGTCTGAATTTCAAGAACATGCCATGACTTTAGATAGTGGCAAAGGCTTGGTTTGGTTTAGAATGTTATTCTAAACATGTATGTATGCTTTAGGTTGATATGTACATATAAATACTGAGGTTTTGGTCTTTGATTTGGATAATAAAATTTCCTGTTTAGCTTGAAGTTCACTTTGCCCCAACAGCTATTTATCTTCTTATTCTCTTGTATAGAATTATTATAGCAGTAAAATGGAGGAAGAATCATTTGGATTCATGTGGAATTTCCTAGAGGAGGAGAAGAGGAATCAAAGTGAATAACTGTGTAGGAATATTTCAGCAGATGTGCTACAATTTTTGTTTATCAAAGTGTAAAATACTATATTATACATCTTGAACCTAAAAACAGGCACTAATCTTTGTAACACTTCCCATTTGACCCCCTGATCTTATTACCCCCACTTCTTAGGGTTTCAGTAACAGCTGCACCTTGAATTCTGACCCCAATTTTAAAATTTCAAGTTTTAAATACGTAATAATTATTGTATTTATCCCCAAACATCTGGTTCATTAACAAGTTGGCCAGAGAGCCAAAAGGTCTGAAGAAATGGGACTGTTTTCTTATATGTCCAAGATTCTTTGGAGGATTGAAATCTTCTTTGTTACTGTTGGGTTAACTTGGGTCAGTATTTTATCATGCTTAGACCATAGATCTATCCATCATTTTCTTTCAAATTCCTACAATGAAAGTCATCTGTGTTGTAAATCAGGCAGAGAAGAATGTCCACTCCTCAGTGGAAACTATTCCCCTTGTACAACACATTTTGGGTACCAGAGATGTTAGCAGCTTAGCACAATTTACATGCATCATAAGTTCTTCTTCATCTCCTTTCCCCATAGGGATTTTGTGGCAAAGCATACTTGTGAAGAATTAAAGCCTATATAACTCTGTGGTTTTCATCTTCTGTTCCAAATAAAACAGGAATTCAATCAACTTTGGCAACTCATTGTACCACCAGAACATGTCAGGGCACTGTGGTTTTATCCCAAAATGCCTTTGCATTACAACAGTAATCCTGCTCAGCCCCTTTGCTTTTCAGGGAAAGAACAATCATTTACATATATTGCAACTTCTGGTGAAATGTGCTACCTTGTACGTTTTGATTCATAGCGACCCATCAATAGCCCACGTGACTTAGAAGACAATGCAGCCTAACAGCAAGTGGGGTCTGATGAACTGAAAGAGGTGGATAAGCCTGATTTGGCACCCAAACTCAAAGCTTTCACCCAAGGAGATGCCTTGCACAACAGTTACCTATTCACCCTGACTCACAGACAGAAGTCTTTCAGATCACCCGACACATAATCTCTCAAGCGAGAAGTAGATGATCTTCTCCATGAAGTCTATGTTGAATCATCCACAATTCTTCCCATTGCCTGTTACAATAGAAGTTGTGGAAGCTATAATTTCAGGTACTGATTCCTCATTTTGCCACCTGTTGTACGTAGACACTAAATCCTACACATTCACAGTAGGATGATGGTGACAGAATTGGTTATGGACATATTAAAGGACACTTTTCCTTCTTTGGTTTCCAGCATATAAGGGCATTTTAAAATGCCTCCATGGGCCTTCTATCTAGTATCTCACCTTTTTTAATGGTGGTTTTTCCCAAGCACTTGCACATCAAAGAGGAAGAGAAAAAAATAGTATAATACCATATGGTGACCTTTAGATGATGTGCCAACAGATGATTAGAGTGGTGTCTCAGCTCATCCCCAGTGGTCCCAGACTGGCAAAAGCTAATTGAAGTAGATTGACTACAAAGCAGAAGAGTCAATCAATGCCAGTTTTTTCATCATCCTGTTTCATTGCGGAACAATTTCCAGAACCTACAGTAGCTTACAACCATCAGACTATGCCATTCCATTAGCAGTAGTTCCAGCCTGAAGCCTCAGAATTTCAGTACATGTGCAAGCCTTCAGGTAGAGTATTTGAGCAGGTACATTGATTTCAGCTTCTTCTGCCCTCCACTTTCAAAAGTATAGCTTTGTGTACGATGCATGAAGCATATTACATATTGACATTTCTATTCCACAAACTAAAACAATTGCTTTTTTTTTCCAATAGCAAAATAACATTTTTCTTGATTCCATAAATCCCTGATGTGAGGCAAATGGATATCTGGAGGGAGCATGATAGGCAAGCTGGCAACAGCTTTGAAAAATGTTCCAAGAAAGGCTGCACTGATCAGCCCAATAGCCTGCTTTTTACATCTGCCGATCAAATCTCTCCTGTCCATGTTTCCATGAACATAGTAATGAAAAACTGGATATTACCACTTCGCTACAACTGCCAATAAAACTAACTGGATAGGTAGAGTTTTTACCAGGGGGTGGGTGGTGGGTGGGAGATGGACTGTCAAGTTATTGAATCTTTTCCCTGTCTATTAGGGCAGAGGTCCCCAACTTTTTGGGCACCAGAGACCAGTTCCATGGAGAGAGGTTTTTCCGTGGACCGGAGGGTGCATGGTTTTGTGTGCTGCTTGCATTTCACAGATGGGATGTTGCTTGACCAGTACTGGTCCACGGACCAGGGGTTGGGGACCCCTGCATTAGGGCATGTCAAAATTTTCAACTTTCAATTTCTAAACATTAGGGGTGCTCAAAAGTTGTGACACGACTTGGGGATTGTAAAAATATTTCGGTTACTTTAATATAATTTAGATGTGCTTGTTAAATAACTACGTAAATATCATAACTTTTTAACATTTTGTTTGTTTCATTTCACAGATTCAGCTGCCTTTATCTTTTTGTTAACATTATTTTGTCTGAGAGTGTTAATACTGCTAGCCTCGTTTCCTGTGAGTATGATAACTGATCTATAATGGTTTCTTAAAAAAGAACAGGACTGGGAACGTTCATTCATATGAGCAACCTAATTGGGACTGGCAGAGACTTGTTGCCATTTAAACTCCCAACACTGAGAGACATTCTCAGATATGGCCTCCTATTAAGAAAACAAAGTAATGATGATGCTAGAAACTATCCAGAAGCCAGTCTTGCAAGAGACCTATATCCCAAAGTGCTTGAAAAGTGGGAACGAGCAAACAGTTCTTTTGTGGCCCCTCTTGTAAATTCATGAGTGACAATCTTGAACAAGATCCAAGAGACCTGGGATCAAGCCAAAAACATATCTCTTGGTAGAGGAAAGCTAGATGTCCGAGAGACTTTCACTGTGAAACTTGACAAACTGTTTGACATCCTCAACTTCAAGTGTCAAATTGTTCTGTGTGCCGAATTCAACTGCCCTCCTGGCTGCAAAAAAGAAGCTCACATTAACTGTACCTGTCTTAAGGATTCGAAGATACCATTGAAGGAACTTGATTTTATTAAAAGTCAGAGAGACAAGACTAGTTCTTTTGGAGCACACCAGATTTGTTTGCCAGATGTGCCCGAGCAGAAACAACTAGGTAAAAGGCAAAAGCAACAAGACAATGAGAGAGACAAAGGCTCTCTAAATATAAACAGAGAAGTATTCCAGACATTTCAATACTGATAAATGAAGTAATTATCTCTTATGATGAAAATGAAGGACAGACTGATGATGAAGATGAAGAAGAATGTGATGGAAGTTATGAAGAGGCCTTAGACCAAACACATATATTGTCAAGGATGAAACTTTGGCAGCTACATGCCTTTGTGTTTCAACTTGCCTTTAGAGTAAGGGGTGGAGGTGTTACTTTCAAGTGGGTTAGATGGAGAAATGAAACTTCTACAATTCCACTGAAGACTATGAGAGTCTAAAACCTTTCCAAGGACACTATAGTAGGTGTGGATTTGAAGCAAATAGTTCCCATAACAAAGTGAACTTGTTTATATGAACACATAAGACTTTGGGGGTTTGTCTGGAAAAATTATTGTTTAAGTCTATGAATTGGTGTTGGAACCTCAGAATTAGTTTTGCTTCAATATTATCATGCAGTGTATTTAATAAACAGTAAGATTTTCGGAGACAGAATGAACCTGGAGTTTTATTTGGATTCTTGAGCTGGATGTTGACACTTGCCCTCTATTTCAAAAGAAAAGACAGAATACAATAGATTAGAAATAACAAATGTAGCTATGCAGGGCATAAGATAGGGTGTTGGTCTATGTGCCACTGCTGCCATTAGAACAGCTGCCTTCACAGATGCTGGCTTGATCACCGAAGAGGACAAGAGACTTGTAGTTGATCACAATAAAGTCAAGAGACCCAGGAAAAAATTATGAAGGCCTTAGATCAAGAATTTGATGAGCTCTGTAAGAAGGGCGAAATAGAATGCATCTTCTTCAACGGCCATATAAATGCAACTAAAATTATGCTAAAAGCAAACAGTTCAGACCAGCAATTCCCCAGTACCATCTAAGAAGAACATTATTCAGTGTGCAGTGAGCTGGGTGGAGGATATCTTTATCATTTCACTCCAGAGAAAGGCTCAAAAACAGGAAAACCTGCTCAAGTGATTGCAGATAATCTGGTGTATTTCATGAAGAAGAAGAACATTGACAAAAGCTTGAAGGTCATTGAAGGAGATTCTACAAATGTTAAAACTAGTGTGAAGGTGGTGCCAGGCACTGGGTAGCGATCAAGCTTGACTGGAAGTTGATCTGGTTGGAATGTGTACTCCACACAAATGAATTACCCCACAAAACTTAATCACAAAATGGAATGGGAAGACCTTGTCTAACAACAAATGGACAGGTAAAATTGGCAACGTGCTAGACACTGCAACAGAACGTGACATTGTTCCTTCCTTCATCAGAGTTTTAATTGGTGAGCCTCTCATTTTACTGAGCAACAGTGTTGTAAAGGATCTCTCTACTAATCAAGTGTATGGATATAGGATCACAAGGGCAATAAGAACAGAACTTCCCACAGATCTGGCTCTTCTGGAAATTGGCCCCATTTGCCACTCATGCTGGTTGACAACTGCAAATAGGCTTTGTCGAATATGGGTTTCAAAACATAGCTTTAAAGGCAAAACTTTCCAAAACTTAAGAAAGATGGAGGAACATATTGTTGGTGTATACTACCCTTGCTGGTTCAACATCAAAGTAAAACATTCCTGGATTGAAGGCCCGCATCATGTGTTATTCCAGCTGCAGCAAGTCAGACTGTAAAAGAAGGCTGTAGTAGATGCTGTTTTGCCAACCATTCAGCACTCAGCATGGTACACTTTCAGTGAAATTATAATCCAGACATTCTTGTATTCAGATGACATTCAAGAGAGGAGAGCTGGTGTGCAAAAGATCTTTGACTTGAGGGGTGCAGATGATGCCATCCTGGGAGATTTTTCTGTACATGCAAGAAAAACACATTTAATCAATGCCAAAGCATCCACTCTGCTGGAGCTGATTGACTGATCTGAAGGTGTATATGAGCCACCTTTGATGTGCAAACTGACTGTAGCAGAAATAAAGAAGTTCATTGATAAACCCATGCAAGTACCACAGTGGCCCTGTCATGCCCAATCAATAGAGCGATGAAATAGGTTGCAGAAGCAACAAGCAGAGAAGCAAGTCGGCAGCTGTTGTTGAAGAACCAATCAAAACTAAACTTGATGAAACTCGCTTAAACATTTTTGTAATTGCTTTCTGACATTAATTTATGATTTCATGGGTTATTTTTTGCTTAGCTAGATAAAATTCATGCAGAAAAATAACTTTAATTTTTGTAGCCCAAAGTATAATTTTGAGAAGATAACGTTAACAATATTATATACCTTTGTGGGGTATATGACCAGAATTGCACGAGCTAAACATTGTCCAGTTGCAAAAATGAGAGCAGATTTCAATTCTTGGTGTAAAAACACATATTTTTAGAACCCCTCACTGAAAAAATTTACAAAAATTAATTTTCACCCCATTAAATGACCTGCCCTGCATGGCTATATTTTCCTCCAGAATTGCACTTCTATAATCTTCCTTTTCCCTCACGGAGAGTATTTTAAGATTCAAAGTCTAATAGCATTCTTAAAAAAAAAAAAAAACAGAAGAAAACATGTTTCCATGGCTAAACCCAGTTATTGAAGATTGAAGATAAGAATTTAAAAGGGAATAAAAATGTTGCAATTCACTACAGTTCAGCTGACAAGAAATGTTTAAAAAAAAAAAAAACCTTTTGCTGGTATTTTAAACCTGTTGCCAACTTGTGTAATTACTAGAAAAGGGCAGAGAGCACTATACAATCAGTTTCCCACAACTCAGGTTGGGCTTTAAATTGCCCCCACTCTAGGAATGTGGGTTGCAACCCATTCATACAACCTAGGTCAGCCACCATGAAAATAACTTATTTTCAACTCTGATTGCCCAAGATGGAATGATCCAAATTGAAAAAACCGCCCTACTGCTGAGAATCTGAAGTCAATGAGTATATTTAGTAAAAGACTAATTAGTGGCACTTCATTTCACTGGATGGAAAGTTTCATTTGACTGGCATGACTTGATCAAAAACCTTGGTTTTCTAAGTCCATCTTGGAGTTGCTGTGCCTAATTAGCTACAGTTCAGAGGATTAGACAGAGATCAAAACCATCAGAACAATTCTTAAAATCCCCCATGTGACCTCTGCTTCACCCTTTGACTAACAGGGACAGCCCAACAGAGAAAGGAAACTAGACTCTCTGTGTTAACTACTAGAGGGTTTAATTTGCATAACATCAAAGAATCTTCATTTCAGAGCATGTGCTAACTGGAAAGCCAAACTAACTGGCATATGTCAAAGAATTCATTCTCTGTTGTTACTCCCAGTGTGTTAGTTCTGCTTGCTGACAAATATTTCATGTTTGCATTAACCAAACATTTCTTCCTACATTTGTGCTGAATCTTAAGAGGAGGGCTAATAGAAGTACTTAAATAAGGAGGAAATGATGGATTAAACATCTATTTGAAAACAAGATATCTTGTTTCTATGTCAGAGATTATGTATTCATATAAAGGCTTGTTAGGTGAAAGACAATCCCTTTGGCAAGATGGTGTGAAGAAAAAAAGTCCCAAGAAAAATGTGAGGCAGACAGTTCAGCAGCTGGTTTGCGGATCAAACCAAAAATAACCCCAAAGAGTTGTTCTGATCTGGTCAAAGACTTGTCTGGGCTAGTCTTCTGTTCTGCATTTAATCAGATCCCTGAAGATATGAATAGATTTCCTTCCTTCCCTCCTTCCTTCCTTCCTTCCTTCCTTCCGTCCTTCCTTCCTTCCTTCCCTCCCTCCCTCCCTCCCCTCCCTTCTTCTCCCTCCCTCCCCTCCCTTCTTCTCCCTCCCTTTCTTCTTCATGGAAAATGGATAGTAGAGAACTAGAGCCAACATAACTAGTAACCCTGAACTGCATGTTCCTCTATTCCATTTTTTTTTAAAGCCATCTAAATTGGCAGCCATCATTATATCTTGCATGGACCCACTGTATAATTTAATTATATGTGGCATAAATAATTATTTTCTTTTTTTTATTCAGAATCTCTCCCATTTCCATTTCATTTTATGATCCTGGGTCCTAATATTTCAAGAACGGGAAAGAGAAAAGCAAATCTTCCTATTCAAGTTTTGTGCCCCATGTAAAATGCTATACACATTTTTTTCTCCTTAGCTTAACTTATTTTACAAAATACAGTCACAGAATTCTAGCGCCAGAAGGGGCCATTTAATCACCAAGTCCAATCTTCTGCCTAGCCCAGGTATCCAAATCAAAGCAACAGAGACAGAGATCTGTCTAGCCTTGGTTTGTACATATCCAGTGAAGAATAGCTATATACTATTCATCTGGATAATTGGCTTCACTGTGAAATTGCTCTTACTGTTAGAAGTTCTTTTCTAACAGAAGAAAATTCAGTCACATTCTAGATTTTTATGAGGATAAAGTGGAAAAAACAATGGAACATACCTAATGCCACTGTGAGCTTGAACTCTATGGAGGAAGTTAGGTAAATCATGTAATAAGGAAGTAAGCCAGGGAAGCTGTGGGAAAACATTTTCCAGTAGTACTTGAGCATCCAGATTTCAATGCCTTGTAGGACTTGTTACCACATGGAACAGATTAAATCACACAAATTAAGAAATAGGGTAGCTGAATTCAGACCGTAGACTGCTTCATTGACTGTTTATAAAAAACTATGCAGACCACAAAATTTGTAAAGTAGGGAGACTTAATGAAGTATGCTTGTGCAAAATAAATTATCCATCAATCAACTTATCCCTCTGGCCCATTCTCTACTTTCTCCAGACTCTGTTGCTAAAGTTAGCAAGAGGCAGAGGTGGATGAAAGGTACTAAGAAAAAGAAAAACATGCTAACAAAATCTTGTAATCTTGGAGTCGTAGTGGACAATTACTTAAATATGAGCCAGCAGTGTGCTGCAGCTGTCAAAAAATCCAATATAGTCCTAAGCTGCATTAACAGAGGAACAGAATCAAGATCATATGAAGTGTTAGTACTACTTTATAATGCCTTGGTAAGGCCACACCTGGAATATTGCATCCACTTTTGGTCCCTGCAATATAAAAAAGATGTGGAGACTCCAGAAAGAGTGCAGAGAAGAGCAACAAAGATGATTAGGGGACTGGAGACTAAAACATATGAAGAACAGTTGCAGGAATTAGGTATGTCTAGTTTAATGAAAAGAAGGACTAGGGGCCACATGATAGCAGTATACCAATATCTAAGGGGCTGCACAAAGAAGAGGGATCAACTTATTCTCCAAAGCATCTAAAGGCAGAACAAGAAGCAATGGATGGAAACTAACCAAAGAGAGAACCAACCTAGAAATAAGGAGAAATTTCCTGGCAGTTAGAATGGAATGATTTGCCTCTAGAATTTGTGAATGCTCCAACAATGGAGGTTTTAAAGAAGAGATTGGACAACCATATTTCTGAAATGGTATAGTTTCCTGACTGAGCAGGAGATTGGATCAGAAGACCTCCAAGGTCCCTTCCAACTCTTATTCTGTAAATAGAAGTTAAAAAAAAAATCAGATTAGGAATTCAGAAAAGATGAAGAGCAGTAGTGCATAACAAAGAAAAGGCAGAGCTTCTCAATATCTATTTTGGCCTGATTTTCTCCAACAACAGAGTATATATTCCAAATGGGTAATGTTGAATGCTAAAGTGAAATTGCAGGAAATTAGAGTAGAGTAGAGTAGAGTAGAGTAGAGTAGAGTAGAGTAGAATAGAATAGAATAGAATAGAATAGAAGTTGGAAGGGACCTTGAAGGTCTTCTAGTCCAGCTCCCTGCTCAAGCAGGAGAACCTATACCATCTCAGAAAATGACTGTCTAACTCTTCTTTAAATCTCCAGTGATGGAGCACCCATGATTTCTGGAGGCAAGCTGTTCCACTTTTTAATTGTCCCCACTGTCAGGACGTTTCTACTTAATTCTAGGTTGCTTGTCTCTTTGATCAGTTTCCAACCATTGTTTCTCATCCTTCCCTCTGATACTTTGGTGAATAACATGGTAGCCCCTCAAGTACTGGAATACCGCTATCATGTTTCCCCTATTTCTTCTTTTCTTTAGACTAGCCAAGCCCAAGTCCCGCAGTCATTCTTCGTATGCTTTAGTCTCCAGGCCTTTGATCATCTTAGCTGGTCTTTGCACTTTTTCCAAACTCTCAACATCTTTTTTGTGATATGGTGACCAAAATTGTCTGCAGTATTCCAGGTGTGGTCTTACTAGGGTTTTATAAAGTGGTACTAATACTTCATGTGATCTTGATTCTGTGCTTCTGTTTATACAACCCAGGATTGTATTAGCTTTTTTGGTGGCTGCTGCACACTGCTGGCTCATAGTCAAGTGATTGTCCACTAGAACTCCAAGATCCCTCTTACAATTGCTCTTTTTGAGTCAGGTCTTGCTTAATCTGTACTTGTACCTTCGATTAAATCATGAGATTGACCTAAAATAAATGCTGTCAGAAAATACATGTTAACATTCAGCAAATTTAAATTTCTAGGACCAGGTGAATTTCACGTATTATGTATTTTCTTTGAGAAATTTGGGATATATCTGATGACTAGAGAAGGGTAACTTTTGTCCTTATTTTTAAAAAGATGGGAATGAAGGATCAGAGTATCTACATACCAGTCAAACTGACACTGGTAATTGGGACGATTGTAGAGCATAAAGTGATTGATCTGGCAGCACTTTTAAAATAATGCAGTGATTTCTGGAAGTCAGCATGGATTTATCAAGAACAAGTCTTACTTGACTAGCCTTATCTAATTTTTAATCAGGTAATAAATTGTGGGAATTTAATAAATATAATATATCTTAATTTTAGCAAAGCATATGTCAAAGAACTCCATTAATTAGCAAAGTAGTTAGGCAGGGATGGATAGAATGACAATTAAATAGACACATCACTGGCTTGAAAATTGTACTCAGAGTACTCATTAACAGTTTCTCATTAAAACAGAGGGAAGAATCAAAAGGATGCCACAAAGAACAGCACTTGATAAGAAACTGAATATGAGTCAGCAATGAACATGAAAAAGGCCGATGTGACTATAAACATTGTAAATGCAGTTTGGGGCTTAATCAACAGAAATACTATTTCTAAATCATGGGAAGTAATCTGTATATTTCAGACTCCACCTCAGATATGGAGTCTTGTTGTGAATAACACCTTTTAAGGAATGAACAACCTGGAATAGGTTCACTGAAAAGCAAGAAGGATGACCACGAGACTAAAAATGATTATCAGAATGAAACAGTGGGGAATGTTTACCTTTAAGAAGAGAAAAGTGAGGAGGGGATATGGTATTCCTTCACAAATGCTTGAAAAGGGATCACAAAAAAGATCAAGATCCTTCTCCTTCAAGAGGGAGGACACAAAAGAACAAATTTAACTTTCACAAAAGTAGATTCCAATTGAATATTTTTTTAAAAAATCCTAAAAAATAAAGAGGAGTTTGCCAATGGAATGAATTACCTGCTGAAGTCACTGGGTCCTCTTCAATTGGATGTGTTCAGGGAAAGGCTGGATAGCTACTGTATTTGTTGGGGATAGCTTAAATTTCTGCAGGAAGCATGGAACAGGGAGTTAGACTCAAACCATAAATAGCCTCTTGAAATAGATCACCAGTTCATACACATTTCAGGATCATACTGTATTTGACAAGCTTGGTAACCAGACCCAACAGGTTCTTTAAGTGAAGAATGATGATCTGTCCATGTTCATTACTGTGGTCTTAGGCCACTATCGATGACACTAATATTTATATTTATTTATAATTTCAATTCATAAGACTCCTGAACCCAATCTCACTCACTTACAAATCAATATACTATTTAAGAAAGGACAAAATGAACAGAAATGAAATCTTACTAAACTGGGGGAAAGACATGTTACAACCAAAATAAACAATACACACAAAATGGTCACACAAATGAAACTGGGGGAAAGCCAGTTTTTAAAGATCACCTAAGGTTTGCAGATTCAGGGTGCTCCAAATCTCTGGGAGGAAGGTGCTATTCCAAAGGGCAGATCCTGCAACAGAAAAGGCACCCTTCCTAGGTCAGATTTTACAGAACAGACAGGAATGATGAGAAGGAGGCACTTCCTCAGATAATCAAGCTCCATGCTACTAACAGCTCTATGGGTGATGACCAGACTTTCCAGATGAGTGACCTTGAGCCAGTCACTCTCTGTCATAGGCTCCAGCGTTTATCTTGTTAGAGTAAAAGTTGAGTCTATCTTTCCCAGCCTCCTGACACTGATTTGTGACCTCAACAGTACAACTTGGTCAAGCAGGGGTTGAGATATACAGTTGAATATCATCAGCATACCTATGACACCTTACGCCATGTCAACAGGTGACCTCACTCAGCAGTTTCATGTGGACATATTAAGCAATCAAGGCAAGAGTGTCAAGCCTTAATGTATCTTAAAAATCAGAGGCTTCAATCTGGATTTTTTGTGCTGTCAATTCTAAATGTAACTGGCTACAGGAAAGAACAACCAGTAAAACTCCCTGATCCTGTAGCCAGCCCAGAAGGATATTAAGATCAATGGTAAGAAAAGCCGCTGAGAGATCAAGAAGAACCAGAATGGTTGCACCCCTTTGTTCTATATCTACCAAAATGTAAATCTTTCATATCAAAGCAATTATTGATAAGTAGTTCTGATATATTATTGTATTGTAGCTAACACCTATTGTTACTTATTTATTCTTGAGAACAATGAGGCATTAAGCAGGACTCTCAACATATTTTTCTTTCAGTGAAAACATTTCTTCACATGGTGTACATTTTCTATCTATATATGCCTGGTCTACACTGGTTCTCCAGAAAGTAAGAGCAAAATCACTGGAGGCTACTTTTCATTCTCCTAGATCAGTGGTGGCGAACCTATGGCATGCGTGCCAGAGACAGTACTCAGAGCCCTCTGGGCATGCGCGCCATCATCCCAGTCTCGCTTCCCCTCATGACCCCCTCCTCACTAGCAGCCCCCCTGGAGGAGAGTTGCCTCCGAGTGAAGCCCATGCAGAATAGCGCAGCCAAGGACATGGCAGCCAGGCAGTGGGGACAAGACTCCGCCCTCACACCCCATCACATGCAGATGATGCTGCGGAGCGCAGACAGAGGGTGTGGCCACCATGGTGCTGCTGGGCCACCTGGGTGATCTGCGGCAGGCCGTGGAGGTGGTGGATGGCCCTCCAGGTGGGGGATTGTGGGGGGCGAGGTTTGTCATCACTGTCCTAGATTCTGTGGCTACACACAGAGTTGCATAGACAGTAGTAGCCAGAAACAACACCATATACAGTAGGATTATAGAAGGCCAGAGTGAAGCCCATCTGCCTGGGAAACAACCTGGGTCACTCTCTCTGTGTCACAAACACACATACACAGGATTGATTCTGTCATGGTTAAAAAATAATAAAGAGATGTCTCCATCTTTCCTTTCCTACCTGAAAAAAGTCTTGTCAGGATAAAAAAGTGCTGCCTCAGTTGAGGCATACAACTAATTAAGTTCCCCCAAATGCTGTCCCTTAGCCCTGATTCTGGCAGAGAGAAATGGGTAAAAATTAGCAGACAAACATGGCCAGCACTACTGATTTTTTTAAAAGTATTTTATTAGTTTTTTATCATTACAATTCATTTGTGCTTAATAAGCAACATGATGTCTGGGTTAATTTTTGCTTAGTCGTAAAAGTTAACTTCTTACTCTCTATCTCGTTTTTCTAACCATTGATAAAATAGGTTCCAGGTTTGAAAGTATTCTGCATCTTCTTTTCCTTTAATTCTCAATGTGTTTAAATCATTTAATTCTCAGTAATTTAAAAAATTAAATCAGCACTACTGATTTTAATAGGAATAGAATGACCAGTTTTTAAGGCATGCAGTCTACAATATGTAGCTGTCACAAGAAAGGAGGAGAAGAGAGAATGAAAGTAACTATGAAAGCCTCTATGAGAAAGAAAGATCACTTGGTGTTCTAAGACATGATTTGTGTGGCTATATTCGTTGGCATTCGGCTACCAAAAAAACAAAGGCATCATGTGATGGGGGGAAAAAAACCCATGGTCTGTCAGTTTGGAAAACCTTCAGTACTGAGCTATTCTTGCAGGATAAAAACTCTGACCTCATTCTGAGAAGTAAGCATGGTGGGCTTCGGCTCAGAATGACACTCGAGAGAGGCAACGTTTTTTTATAACAAGATCAGCAAGTTTTGTGACTCACACCCTGGGGAAAGTGAGTGAGTTATCCTTAAATTTGTGAAATCCAGAGGTGGAGGAACTGAGAAGAGTCAAACCTGCACACTGGACTTCTGAAATAGCAGTTTTGAAAGAATTCTGAGGGAAAGTAGGGCAGATCCAATGGCTTGAAATCCTGAAAGAAGAAAATGCCCAAGAAGGATAGGAAACTCTCTGAAATGAGATACTGAAATCAGAAATAATCGACCCAAGAAAGAAAAAATTTGAGAAATCTAAGGAGACCAACATGGATATAAGCCAGGGGGCATGCTGGCAGAGGAATTCTGGGAGTTGAAGTCCACAAGTCATAAAAGGGCCAAGTTTGAAAACCCCTGATATAAGCAAAGCTCTCTAAAACAAGAAAGAGAAAAAGAGATATATACAGGAAATGGTAGGAGGGGACTTCCATTTCTAGTCAAAATATGATGTAAGGTCATGTCTGGAAACTGTCAGAAAAGATAAAGCTTGGAATTAATTGAAGTTTATGAGAAACATCAAAAATAAAATGGTAAACTGTGGGCTAGATGTTACTAGTTCTAGATGTCGTGTGCTGAATGACCATCTTTTAAGAGTGCTACAAAAATGCTACACTTCAGCTTGTGAAGTATTAAATGGAGGGCCACAAGATTTTGTCCTGGTGTTGTACCGTTCCACATTGTCATCAATATTTTTGATAAGGAAATTAAAGGGGACACAAACCTGATACTACTTTAGAAGGAGTGAAGATTCAAAGCAATCCAGATTGGCTTAAGCATTGGACTATGAATAAGATGGAACTTAATAGAGAGAAATAAATTTTCTCCATATGGGGGGGAAATGGAAGACCCAAGTATAAGATGGAAAGGAACAGGCTCAACAAAAGTCCATACGAACAAAATCTGGATGGCCTTGATGATCTCAAGTTAAATAAAAATAAGCTCTGTAATGCAGCTGCTAAAAAAACAAATGTTATCTTGCATTGCATTTATAGGAGCACAGAATCTCGACTCCCAGGATGTGATTTTTCCACTTTCCTCTGTCTGAGTCAGACCTTACTTGCAATACTGTGTCCAGTATTTCTGGGCACCACAGACCAGCAAGTTGAGAGGAGAACTACCAGGATGAAGGATCTGAAAACAAGATCTGTAAGATATTATTAAAGGATTTGAGTATAATTAGCCGAGAGAAAAGACAATGAAAGGCAGACACGACAGCAATCTTTAAATATCTGAAAGCTGTCACAAAGAGAAGGGACTGGACTTATTCTATGTTGTCCCAGAGGACAGGACTATAGCCAGTGGGTTAAAACCATATCAAAACTGTAAAAAAGGAGTGTCAAGCTAAACCTCAGCCAGACCTTCCTGATAATATGAGCTGTCAACTGCAAGGCTGCCACATGACATGATGAGTTCTCCTTTAGAAAATGTCTTCAAACAGAGGCTGGGATGTTCTACTAGTGAATCCTACACTGAGAGGTGGTGCCTTTCAACTCTTATGATTTTAGATTAGATAGATAGATAGATAGATAGATAGATAGATAGATAGATAGATAGATAGATAGATAGATAGATAGATAGATAACCTTTATTGTCATTTTTTATTGTGGGCACCATGCCACCCATTAAAAATAAAATTTAGTTGCTTGCTCTCAAAGTGTACACATATTGTATATAACACACATTTAAACATACTATATACAACGTGTATAGAATTACACCCTTACATATAAATCAATGTTTCTCAACCCTAGCAACTTTAAGATAAGTGGACTTCAACTCCCAGAATTCCATGCTGGCTGGGGAATTCTGGGAGTTGAAGTCCATTTACCTTAAAGTTGCTAGGGTTGAGAAACACTGATAAATGAATTGTTATATAAATTAAAATATAAGTTAAATTATTTTTCAATAGCATCTTAGTGACAAACTTTCATTTTTTTGAAGAGAGAACTCTCCTTTTGTAGCAAAAAGGTTTCAGCTATACAAATGTTTTAGACGTCTACAACAAATCAAAAATTATCAGTATTTTTACACACAAATGGCTCAAATACATTTAAAACTACAATGATTAGGATCTTCTCTAAGCAGTAAGAAAACCCAGAAAAATTGTTCCAAATGGGATTTTCTTTGAAAGGAAGTAATTGGAAGTTCATTGGCATCTTACAGAGCCATTGTGCTGGTGGCTGCCCCATAGCTTGTGTCAGTGAATCCTAGAGTTTATATTTATACCATGTAAAGAACTGCATGTTTTGTTTGCCTAAATTTTTTAAATAGTTTCACTGAAGGATTCCAGGCTGTCACATCATGAGAGAGGAAGAAAATTTACACTCAAATCACCCTTACAGGAAGGCCTGGAGGAACGTTGTCCATGGGGTCTAACAACAGCAACCACAACAATATTATCTTTAAATTTAGAAGACTCGGTAATAATTTATTTTAGTTGTTTTTGTTTTCTAAGTTGAAACATTGAAACATCCTTAAAAGACTTGCTGCAATCTGCTAAAAAAAAAAATCTGCAATCCTATCATTACATTTTTTGAGTTTGGGAAATTAGAAGGATCATGTTATTCCAAATGTACATTTGTATGATGGCATTATCATGTTGGTTAATTATTTTTAACATGCTATTACTAAATTTAAAAATGACCCATCAATCATATCTGCCTCTCTGGGAGTTGAAGTCCACTTATCTTAAAGTTGCTAGGGTTGAGAAACATTGATTTATATGTAAGGGTGTAATTCTATACACGTTGTATATAGTACATTTAAATGTGTGTTACATACAGTATGTGTACACTTTGAGAGCAATTTGTTCACATTTCCACTAACCCATGACCCCAAGATCTCTTTCTGAATCAGCTACTACAGCCTCCAATTTAAGCTTTGCACTCAGAACCTTTCTCATTAGAACAAGTGGTGGTGCAGCTATTCCTGGCCCTTGCCCTATCAGATAACTCAGGGATTCCGCAAACAAGAGGACTTAGCTCCTTGTCATCTCATCTTTCAGGTATTTTCCTAAGGGTCAACCCTCCCATGCTTCTCTCTATACAGAAAAGCAGAAGCCACTGACTTCAACCGGTAAACTGTGTATTTTTCCAGATAGGAGAGGAAAAACATCAAGGACACAGGGGGAAAGGGGCAGAAATGTACTCAGTAAGAGTAATAATTGTACAGAGGGGTCCTTGGTGCTCTCTGAGCTTGATTGTTTTCTTGCAGACAATTTATTACCCAAACTAGATAACAACGTCAGTGCTGGTACAAATATTACAAATATTCTCTTTTATTGAATAATTGTACAGTAAGAATATATTCTCATTAGAACTTAAGAAAAGGCCTGCTAAACCAGGCCAAGGATTCTTGAGTCTACCATTTCATTATCTCACACTGGCCAACAAGGGGCATTCAGGCAAATCATAAGCATGGATAGGAGGATGAAAGCCTTCCACTACAATTGCTGCATGTCACTTGTATTTAGATAGCCACACAGAGTCACTTCAGAAAGGGAGATGGACAGCATATAAATTTAATAAATGAATAAAATATAAATGAATATGGTAACAAACATCCATTGAGATTAGCTGTCAATGAAGACTTACTCTTACAATTTTGTCCAGCTCCCTTTCAAAATTGTTTCAACTGATGGCCCTCACCACATCTAATAGTAGGGAAAGTATAGTAACTGCACTCAAACAAAATCTATTAGTACTAGTGCCACTTTACAAAGTCCTATAAGACCACACCTCAAATACTGCAGCCAATTTTGGCCACCATATCACAAAAAAGATGTGGAGAGTCTGGAAAAAGTTCAGAGAAGAGCAACTAAGATAATAATAATAATAATAATAGTAGTAGTAAAGTTGGAAGAGACCTTGGAGGTCATCTAGTCCAACCCCCTGCTCGGGCAGGAAACCCTACACCATTTCGGACAAATGGCTGTCCAGTCTCTTCTTAAAAACTTCCAGTGTTGGAGCATTTACTGCTTCTGGAGGCAAGCTGTTCCATTGATTAATTGTTCTCACTGTCAGATGATCAAAGACCTGAAGACCAAAACATACAAAGAATGGCTGCAGAACTTGGGTTGACCAGTCTAAAGAAAAGAAGAAATAGGGGAGACATGATAGTAGTGTTCCAGTATCTGAGGGGCTGCCACAAAGAAGAGGGGGTCAGGTTGTTCACCAGAGCACCAGAGGGAAGGATGAGAAAAAATGGTTGGAAGCTGATCAAAGAGAGAAGCAACCTGGAATTAAGGAGAAACTTCCTGACAGTGAGGACAATTAACCAGTGGAACAGCTTGCCTTCAGAAATCGGGGCACTCCATTGCTGGAAGTTTTAAAAAGGAGACTAGATAGTCACTTGTCTGAGATGGTATAGGTTCTCCTGCTTGAGCAGGGGGCTGGACTAGAAGACCTCCTAGGTCCCTTCCAGCTCTATTCTCTTTGAATATTTTTGCTGGATGCTGAAGACTTGTTCCTCCATTTCCACAGACTGGTGATTGCTATTGTGGGAGTAAACCCAGGTGCTGCCCGCAGGCATTGTGTAGTGATAATGTGAAGAAGTAGAGGAAGCAAGGCTATATTTATGCTATCATATGCTACTTCTACTTCGCTTGGAAAATAGCTAATGTAAATAAGAGGTGCTGCTTGTTCATGGACCTTAGGAGCATTCTGGAATCACCTCATGGTGAGATGGGCAGCAAATAAATTTAAAAATAATTCATTAAATGAAAATAGCTACATTAACATGATGCTGGGGAAAGATGTCAATCTGAAGCTTTTGCTGCAATAAAATGATTCAAGAGTAGAACCTCAAAGGTCACAGTTCACTAGGAACTTTCTGAACAATATAGGACAGGCAACCTTGGTTGAGAATGGATTAGCGAAATATGTTCTCTGCATATTATCTCAGTTAAGCAAAGAGAGGAGATGAACTGGAAGGGGATTTCAGTCAGGGATTCTGTCGAATAGATGCCCTAAATTCAATCTTAGCTCTTTGCTTGATATTTTACCAAGAATACCTACCCTTGACTGTAAATCTTTTCTCACACATTGGGTGTAACTGCGAAACATTCTGAAACCTCACCCTCACTGTGATTTGAATAACCATTTCAGCATGTCTCTGTGGGTATGTGTGCACTAGGAGTGGTTTCCAAGAACTCTGCTCACCCGTCTGTTATCCACACTTTTTTTTGTGTGAGCTGCACCCAGTCCACATCTCTGGCATTGCAAAAATCAATGCAATTAAGAGACTTGTGGGCCTCTGACATCCTTACTAAAGCATGTCTGGACTAGGGAGTGGAGACTGAATCAAGAAAATACGGTTAAAGAAAATGAAATGGACCCACTCTTGGTATAAGGTAGGATCAGGGCACGATTAGTTGCCTAGAAGCTCATGCAAGGGTCAATATGAGTCTTTAATTCCCCCCCCCCCCAAGTTTCAATCATTTCCACTCAATTCTTCCAGACCTCCCATCTCTGGTAACATGTAAGCACAAATACACTCATTCATATAAAATGTCTAAACGGTTCTGTCTGAAGAAGCAAAAAGACTCTTCAGAAACTCCCTGCTGCTTAGCTGTTTGCAAAACACTACACAACAACGTAAGAGTTGTTCTTTCTGTGAAGTGCTCTTCTGTTGCTAAGCACAGTTGTAAGTCCTTTCTGCAGGTTCACTTCCTACTTTACAAATTTTATGTTGGAAAGAATTAGACCCTCTATTATAGGGGAGAGACATATGTACCTGCCAACTGTTATGGAGCTGTAGCTTCCAGTGGCCTCATCTATCATGCCCATAATTTTTTCATTTCTGCTGAAATGGTTTGCTGGTTTGTTTATTAAATTTAAATGCCACCCATCTTGCTTTCAAGCCACTCTGAATGGCTTACAACAAGATAAAAATGACAACATAAAACATTAGAAGATTAAAATACTAAATTAACATTGTCCCTATGTGTTATCTCTATATACTACTAAAACATAGCTGGCTAGGATTTTCAAACTATATTTAACCATGTTATAAGAACTGTTTTCACAATTGGTTTCAACTGTTGCATCAGTAATGGAAATGATAAGCCATATTTTATATTCAAAGACCCTTATTTTAGAATCCCAAACACCTGCTTGGTTGTCTATCCCTGGATATAGTCTGCATATCTATCCCGTATGAAATTCCATCCACTTGCTTGGCCACTATGAATGTCTTAATGCCGTGGCTGTCAACCTTTTCTTCACCATGGCCATGGACCCTCAAGACTTAACTTAAGATTTAAATCATAACATTTCTTCAAGGCTTCGTGGACCACAAGTTGAGAACCACTGCCTTTATGTATTGTGTAAACTCAGAGTACTGTGGCTTATGTATTTGTTTACTGTCTCATTTGCATTTTGCTTAGTTCCAAAAATTCCAAAAGGCTAATTTCCAGCTCATATGAATAAAACAAACCTATATGTGAACTCTGTCATAGGCTTTAAGATAGACAGATTCTTTCTGCATGTTTGTACAATTTGTATGTATCATACATCATCATTTCATGGCTATTAATTTCTGACTCAGAGCCTTGTCTCCATGTGAAAAAAAAAGTGTTCTGGTAATGGGTGCATTGTGATGAAACACTTGTTGGCCTTGGAAAACCTTAGGGCTGTTTTTCCAGGAGAAATCAAAGGAGAGAAATGACAGCTCTTGAAAAGGGACCTCTATCTCTTTCTAAAGGAGGAACTTTTAGGCTGCCATTCTGTGATGTAGTTAAGCTGATGTTTCTTCACTGAAAATAACATTGGTGGTGACTATGCACTTACCTTTAAAATGCATTGTAAAGAAAGTCTGGCAGCCTTTTATCTCATGAGGTTAGAAATGCAAATGGCCCTCATTTTCCTTCTGTAGGATTGTCTACCTTTTGGCAGGCTATCTGAGACATCTCCCTTTCAGAAAAAAAGGTATTTTCAGGCCTTAGAGTTCTTACAGGCACTTGATTCAGAAAGCCCATCGAGTAATTAACAAAGCATCACTCCAACTACGGACATTCCTTCAGGTCTCCCCCTCAGCAGGAAACACTTCAATATTCTCCTTGTGCAGCTGTCACATGCAAAGCAGTTGCTGGCATTCCTTCCCTGCTCACAGGATTCACTCTTGGGCAGCGACAGATCTTTGCAATATGTTGCCAAACATTTTTCACCCCAAGGCAACCCAGCTTTTCACCTCCCTGTGATTAATTCTCCCCACTCTTAGCAAACATTCTCCTCCCAGCCAAGGAAGAAGGGCTGAGTTCCTCCTCCAAGCCTTATTGAGCAAGGTCCTAATCATGGGGTCAAGGGATTATAGGGACTATATAGGGGACAAGAGTCATAGGCCAATACTCAGAGGGCACCAAGTTGCTAAGGCATGTTTGTTTACTCAGGGGAACTTATTATCTGCAATGGAACTGTTTAGTGACACTTGCTTTCCTTTTGCTGATTTGAAAAGGAACACATTATGGATGCACCATTTGCAAAAGAAAAAGAAAGGCCATCAGAACAACAAAGATGATCAGGGGACCGGAGGCTAAAACATATAAAGAATGGTTGCTGAAATTGGGTATGTCTAGTCTAATGAAGAGAAGGATGAGGGGGGACATGAGAGCAGTGTTCCAATATCTCAGGGGTTGCCACAAAAAACAGGGAGTCAAGTTATTCTCCAAAGCATCTGAAAGCAGGACAAGAAGCAATGGATGGAAACCAATCAAGGAGAGAAGAAACCTAGAAATTGTTAATGTTTGTGAATTTATCAGTGGAACAACCTGCCTCCAGAAGTTGTGAATGTTCCAACACTGAAAGTTTTTAAAAAGAGGCTGGACAACCATTTGTCTTAAATGGTATAGAGCAGTGGTAGGCAACCTTGGCTCTTTTATGACTCGTGGACTTCAACTCCCAGAATTCTGGGAGTTGAAGTCCACGAGTCATAAAAGAGCCAAGGTTACCTACCCCTGGTATAGAGTTTCCTGCCTGAGCAGAGGTTTGGACTAGAAGACCTGCAAGGTCCCTTCCAACTCTGTTATTCTATTCTATACTTGGTAAAATAGCTCATAATGTACATTGAAATTATCCTAGTTTTAGTCTCCTGCCCTCACTCTGATGTCAAACTCTGGAGAGCAGCTATAGTCACTGTAATGAATAAGGCAGCTTGAGATGAACTCATTCAAATAGGCAAAAGTTCTCCAAGGATTGAGAGAACAGCATTAAAAAAATCAAGAAGGGTATTTGTAATCCATTGAAACCACAGATCTATATACAATGACCTAGCAGAGGCAGCCATGCTTAGCAGGAATGACTTCTGAGTCCAACTGCATAGAATTGGAAAACATTGCTAAACTCTTTGTGGGACTTTGAAATACTAAGGGGGGAAAACTTTTAGAAATGCTATACCTTTTATGAACGTATGGCATCTTTGTTGTTGTTGTTGTTGTTAATTGAGAAGTTGTGTCCGACCCATCGCGACCCCATGGACAATGTTCCTCCAGGTCTTCCTGTCCTCTACCATCTTCTGGAGTCCATTTAAGTTCACACCTACTGCTTCAGTGACTCCATCCAGCCATCTCATTCTCTGTCGTCCCCTTCTTTTATTGCCCTCAATCTTTCCCAGCATTAGGCCCTTCTCCAGTGAGTCCTTCCTTCTCATTAGGTGGCCAAAGTATTTGAGTTTCAACTTCAGGATCTGGCCTTCTAAAGAGCAGTCGGGGTTGATCTCTTCTAGGACTGACCGGTTTGAACGCCTTGCAGTCCAAGGGACTCGCAGGAGTCTTCTCCAGCACCATAGTTCAAAGGCCTCAATTCTTTGGCGCTCAGCCTTTCTTATGGTCCAACTTTCACAGCCATACATTGCAACTGGGAAAACCATGGCCTGGACTATAAGCACTTTTGTTGGCAGGGTGATGTCTCTGCTTTTTAGTATGCTGTCTAGATTTGCCATAGCTTTCCTCCCCAGGAGCAAGCGTCTTTTAATTTCTTGGCTGCAGTCTCCATCTGAGGTGATCTTTGAAATAAAGAACTGTGGCAACAGTAAATCTACATATTTACTGAAGAAAATGAAACTTTAAACACAGTGATATTGAGCACATGACTCTGGGATTGGAATGAAGCAGTGATGGGATTCAAATATATGAACAACCAGTTCTCTGTGTGGATGCCACTTCCGGAAGTTCATTCTGGGCCTGGGCAACAAAACATTAGCTACCGGTTCTGCCTAAGTGGTGTGAACCAGCTGAATCCCACCACTGGGGGGGAGGAATACAGTCCTGTGTGAAATTTTTCAGAACTAAGTTCCATTGATACATTAAGAATTAAACATGCATAGAATGGGGCTGTTGGGATCTTCCCCCAAAAAATAAACTACAAAACAGGTTGCCATTAACATTTTCAGGATATTGCTAGATTTGAGTGGCAGGAAAACAATATTTCAAATATCTAACATTTGAAAACAACTCCCGTGGGTTAGATTATCTGACTAGAAGTGTTGTATCTGTCTAGCCCCTAGTTTGTTTGGTTTCTTTCATGTTAAAAAAGGAAACTTTTTCCCTGTGTCAGTGCCCAAAGGCAGGAACAGTCATTCAGCACCAGTCTCCATCCCCCCATCCTCTGGGGAACCACCCACACAATCCAGGCCACAGGTGGCACATGCAGGAATCCTGCTAAGAATTGCACCACAGCTTGGTTTTCTTTTCCTCCTCGTCATCACCGGAGACCGGTCTCATTAACGGCTGTAAAACCCGTTGGGCTTCTTGCTTACTTTGATCCTCTTACATCAGATCAGCATGAGGACTGTGTTTTTAAGATCCTGTCTCGGATTTTATAAGTGGCAGGAACAGTGCACAAGACTACCCTTTCATGCCACACAGGTGCCATCTGTCTCAGCAACACCCATAGTGAAACAATTGCCTGTGTGAACAAGGAGAACCAACTGCAAGGGAGAGGCCAGCATAAGCATCATAACCCCCCAGGCCGTCTTCTGCTTAAATGAACTTGGCTCAATCTTCTTGAGGTTTGCCCCTGTGCTAAAGGAAGCCTGGGGAAAATGCTGAAGTGAATTAATCTACTATGTAGAACTACTTCACCCCTTCCCTGTTTTAAAACCACAGTCCCTTCCCTTTTGTATTTTTTTTTTTTTGTTCTGTTTTCTAAGCTTCCTTGCCCAGTTCTTCACTGGTAAATTTAGCAGTACAAAAACAGTGGTGGAGATAAAGAGGAGGAGGAGGTAGTAAAGTCAGCTGAGTATCCCCTGAGCATCCAGAAGATTATGCCTTATCAGCCAAGCCTTTACTGAAAGAGCACAGTCTTCTCACGGGGCCCTAGAAGGGGGGAGGGGGAAATTAAGATTGCCTCTTATTCTCTCATGAGCACACATTCACAAACAGCATTTGGCTATCGTGCTCAGGTCTCAGAAGCGAAGCAAGGATGGGCCTAATTAGCACACATATCGGAGACTGCCAGGGCTGTAGGCTAGACTGGGAAGTCCAAACAATTGTTCCAGAAAAACAGCTCTGGCAAACTATTTCCAGACAGTACTAATGCCAAATCTCTCTCCTCTCCACATGCTATGAAGAGTTGTGTTCGAGTCAGACCCCTGGCCAGCAGCTAATGGGGATTGTGGTGGGAACAAAGGGAACAAATTCTTGGTTAACAGAATAACAGAACTGGATGGGACCTTGGAGGTCTTCTAGTCCAACCCCCTGCTCAGGCAGGAAACCCTATACCATTTCAGACAAATAGTTGTCCAATCTCTTCTTAAAAACCTCCAGTGTTGGAGCACCCACAACTTCTGCAGGCAAGTCATTTCACTGATATAGTTGCATTTTTATTGGTAAGGTGATTGGAACTTGGAAGCATTCAAATATTTTGGGCAGTCTCCAGCAGATGCACCATACTTTTTGGGCCTTAGAAGGAAGAAAGTCTTAAGCTGGCTCTGGAAAGGACTCGTAAACCCTGAAGGCTGGAGTCCAGGTTTTGAAGCAGCTTTTCAGTAACTGAACTTGATGGTTTCTTTCGGACTGCAAGAGGTTTTTAATCCTGTTCTTGCCGAATTGAACTACAATTTCTAATATCTTCCTCCACTTTTAGCCACAGGTTCTCCCTCCCTGTTTCAGATCACCTGAAATCCTTTCTTAAAGAGAAGGAATGAGATGCATTTTCATGTCAAATAGCTCTAACATAACAATTTTTAAACCACATTCACATCCTCTCTTTCCATCTCCTGACATTTTGTGAATTTTTTTTTCTCTTTAGAATGTAACCCAGTTTTTTCCTTATATAATATGCTGAGAAAATTAACAAACTTCTGTTAAGGCATAATTACTGCTAGGTGTGCCTTTCAACAACAGCAGGAACTTTTAAAGTGGGCCTGAATGAACTCCTTCAGGTATAGAGAGATCTTGAATTAGCTCTTACATCATTGGGAGGGATAATCTGGAATTACATAATGGGTGTTGTTTTTTTCCTGCTTCATGCAGGTGATGTGACCTTATTCTGACTGAAAGGAATGGAAAAGGACATGAAGTATTATACAATGAGATTTCTTTGACTTATCTGTGTTACACAGCAGCTGGATGATGCACAAGGTGTTTGGAGTGGGAGGTCCGGCTTTACCCACATGTTGCAGAGCCCGATGTTGCCATGGATACCCTGGTCCTCAGCATTTTCCCCTTTATTGGCAGTAACAGTTATTCTATAAAAGAAAGGCAACAGACATCATGACATCATCCTCTGAAATCAGAAGGGCTATAGTACAGGCACAGAGAAGATTCTTTAGACTTTGAGTGTAATGGTTTCCTTCCTTCCTTCCTTCCTTCCTTCCTTCCTTCCTTCCTTCCTTCCTTCCTTCCTTCCTTCCTTCCTTCCTTCCTTCCTCCTTCCCTCCCTCCCTCCCTCCCTCCCTCCCTCTCTGTCCCTGTTTCTCTCTCTCTTTCTTTCTTTTTTCTTTCTTTTTTCTTTCCTTTCTTCCCTCCCTCCCTCCTTCCTTCCCTCCCTCTTTCTCCCATATCCATAATGGATGATAATATTAAGACGTCAGCTACAACCTGTACAGTATGTTTCAAAAATATTACAGATAGTTGATCAATATAAACATACTGCATACACTTTACGTCTGAATACATATTTTCAAAACCTCTGTTTCTTTAGAAAGCATGGTTTGCCTTGTTCTGTTGTTGTTGTTGTTAGTTGCGAAGTCATGTCCAACCCGTCGTGACCCCATGGACAATGTTCCTCCAGGCCTTCCTGTCCTCTACCATCTTTTGGAGTTCATTTAAGCTCACGCCTACTGCTTCAGTGACTCCATCCAGCCACCTCATTCTCTGTTGTCCACTTCTTCTATTGCCCTCAATCTTTCCCAGCATTAGGCTCTTCTCCAGTGAGTCCTTCCTTCTCATTAGGTGGCCAAAGTACTTGAGTTTCAACTTCAGGATCTGGCCTTCTAAAGAGCAGTCAGGGTTGCCTTGTTC